GATTGTTTATACGTGGTTGCTACACATGGCTATTTATATGTTGCTGTTTTGTACGTAGTTTCTTGTACATGCTTGTTTATCTGAAATTTTGTTTTGATTTTGTTGCATGTTCATGTTGTTTACTTGTTTACTGTTGGAAGTATTTTTGGAGTACATGTTTGTGATACATTGAAATTGAAGGGGGTAAGCTGGTTTTGGTTTTTTTGGTTTTTATGAATTGAGGATATATACAATAGGGTTTTTTCTCTTTATCTCTGTATAGTTGATAGAAAGTCTGGTGTCCTTCTAGCTCAAGGAAGGTGGCGAGATTGTCTGATTTATCAGATGAGATCTGGCCTTCCTTGAGTTTCTGCAGTGTTTAGAGGAGGTGTTTAACCTGGCACATGACTGGCTGTAGTGGTGGCAAGGATGCTGGCTTTCTGAGACCTTACTGTGAATCAGGAAGCTTGATTTTTATCTTTCTCTTTTGCAAGAAGAAGATAGTTTAGGTTGATTACTTGTTATTTATAAATTGATAGAGTTAGTGTTGTTGTAGTATTTGCAATAGTATACCTGAATAAAGTTGTTTCTTGGGGTTTGGAATACTTGGAAGAGAAAAACTTGGTGAACTTTTTCCTTCTTGAAAAGATTTTCTAATAAAGAAATTGGTAATTGACAGGAAAGAGTTTTTATCTGTATAAAATTTATAATAATGAATTGTTTATATGATATTTAAGTATAATTGGTATTTGTTATTAAGCAAAGCTTCTGTGAGATCCACTTTGTAATCTTCTAATTTGACTGTTTTTTTGATTAATTCTATATTCCAATCCAATATTGTGATCTCCTGTAGCTTAGTTCTTTCTATATAGTTGAATAGTGTCTTGAATGCTGCCATTACTTATTTTTCAAATATATAGGAGTTGCAAAAAATTCTTGTTTCCTGGGTTCTATTGTTGCCATATATTCTGTTTAAGAAGTCACAATTCAGGATATTCTTTTTTTCCACCTTTATTTTACTTGAAACTTTTATTGTTGGATTTGTTTAGAAGCTACTTGAATTGCAGATAAGTTTGATATTGACTTTAAAGATAGTTTGTTCTGGTCCAGATGTCATATAGCTGTAATAGAATAGTATGAATGTTCTGTTTACTGGATTATTTTTTGTTTGTATTTTTTTTTATCGTATTTTGTTTTGTTTGTTTTTAAACACATACTATTCCTTAATCTTATTGTTTGAAGAAACCTTGCTAAACTAGCTTGTACTACTTTTTTTCTATAGTCTTGATATTCAGTTGTCATTGAGCTTGGATTTTTTATTGTTTGAGATTTTTTCTTTAAGCTTATTATATTATTATGGGGTGTATCCTTTGTTTGAATCTGGAAGTATCAGTTTAATAAGGTTCCAGTTTAACAAAATCTTAAGTTCAATATTAATCAACTGGTCTATATATATAAGTTGTTTGTTCTTGAGTAATTGGATAGATTTTTTGTACAAATAATTATTATTTAATTTATTCTTGATATTAGAGTCTTTGGTCCATTGGAAGTTATCTTCTAAAAGCTTGTTTTGAAACCTGAACCCTATTTTGTTGACCAGTTTTAGGACTGTAGTTGCAAAGTTATCCTTGCTATCAAAGGAGTCTAAAATATTTTTGGAAAGAATATTGATTGGTTCCTAGTTTTTAAGTTAGGTCTGTTTAAGTTTTATTACTGTTGATTTATTGACAGTTCCCTTATTATTGAGTTTATTAACAAGTCCTATAATTTGTGATTCTGTTTGAATATCTCATATGTGCTTCAGATTAAAGATTTCTTTATTATGAATAGTATCATTAGAAATAGTGCTATAGATTTTTTGTAAAATAATGATTTAATTATTAATTTATTTTAAGATTTATATCATAAATTATATGTTATATAGTTTTGAATTTTAAATTATAGGATAATAAATTTATATTCTGAAAATTTTTAATTTATCTTTAAGATAATTATTCAATTATATATATATTATTACTTTATTTATTTATATAAGAAAATTATTTATATAAAAAAAATCTTTTTTTTTTGAAAAATAATAAAGTAATCTAGTTTCTTTTATATTTAATAAAGTTTTCTTTATTAATCCAAACATTACAATATTTTATATATTAAATATTACAAAGTTTTAGATATTATTTCAAAAGAGTTTTTAATAACTTAAGTAGTAAATTATCAAATTATTAGAATGGAACTTGTTTATTTCGATACTACATCTTATAAGAATCATTTATATAGACATATTATTAATAATAGAAAGTATCTTTAAATAATAAAGTTATTTTTAGACAATAAAACATATATCAAAGAAATATATATATAAATATATTAGAATTAAAAATGATTTATTATATAATTTTGATATTTAAAAAATTAATAATCAAATACTTTTAATAAAGTCTAACTATATTTCAGCTGTGATTTACTTGAATTACCAAAGAAATATATTATTATATATTTAAGCAATTTATTAAAAACAATTTGAAAAGTTTATTTACAATGAAAAATCAAATTAATAATACAATATATAATAAGAAAAATAAACTATTTGATAAACAGAATATCAAGAATGAAATTGAAACAACAAGATTGAAAATTGAATCCAAAACTCTTTTGTCAATTAGTAAGAAAGCAAGTTTTTTTTCAATATATTTATTTGTAAATATAATAAATATACTAACAAACAATTATTATATAAGATTTTTCAATTTATTAGCATTAGCAACTAATGTCATTACTTAATTATAACCTAAAAAAATTCTGTAGATAAATTCACTATAGATTTTTATTTCCAAAATATTGAACAAGATAGTAAGAAATTAAATATTATTTTATTTAATAATTTTTTAAAAAGGATAATATCTTGATTTTTGAGTTTATTGAATCTACTAATAGATTATCCAAGAATATTATCAATATATCAGTTGTTAGATCCCAGATAATAGGCCAGATCAGTATTATATGAAATTATAATAACAAATATTTACTTGTCAATTATCAGGACAAGATTATAAGCAAAAAAATTTCTGGAGGCAATTATTAAAATAGTAAATAATCCAATAAAAAAAGTATTAAATACATTAGTGGAATTAACAATTAACAAGTGACAAGTGACATATTTGATATAAGAAACTAGAGATCAATTTCATTATTTGTTTTATAAATCAATTATTCTTTTTTTTACAATGTTTTATAAACAACACAAAACTTATAACATAATAACAATAATAAGATCAACAGTTTATAAAGTTTATAAGCAAATAGATAACTATCAAGTGGGAAGATATTGAGATAATAAAATTTATGATTTTATTATAAAAATTAAATTCATTACTATTTTTATCAAAAAACAATTTGAATATTGTACCATCTATAGATTATATTGCTGGTTTAAAGGCTAATGACAATATGTTATTTTTAAATTTATTCTAAAAAACAGCTTTTTTAAATAGCATTTGCCTCAGTTTCTAGATAAAGTGGTTTACAGAAAATTTCTTTAACTCTACTTAAAAGATCAAATTATGATTATCCTTTTTAGTAATAATTTTAAAAAAGAGGCAAATATTTCTAGATTACATTATAATGGTAAGAATAGAAAAAACCAATTTTCATTTGATACTATAATAACCAGAATTTTTGTTTTGCATAAGCAGTATTAAAGTTAATAGAGAAATTGCAAGATTGGTATACAAATGATAACCAATTAGGTACACTCTTTTTAATCTTTACTGTACTCCACAGATCAATGAAGACAGATATTATTTCAAACTGGTTAAAATTTATTTTAGGACAAATGAATTTTAATGCAAAAGCAAAGGATATTAGAGGATTAGCTGCACTTTTTGCTTAGAACGTGGGTGTGGATATACCAGCTATACTAGCCTTAGGGAATTGGTCAAATTATAGAGTTTATCAATGAGGTATCAGAAAGATATTAGAGTGCAATAGAACCTCCTCTCAAATTATATATCAGGCAAGACTTATACAAGAGAATACTCTGAAATCTACATAATATTATACAGTATATTGAAACAATTCAATCGATAATTGAACATTAGCGAAAATTATAGAGTATGAACAAGTGGAGATATATAATATCACACTCTTACCCACCCTTTATAGGCATAATGGCATGTCAACCTTTCTGATTTGTCTCACTGCCCGTGCTTAGTAGGTAATTTGAAAACGCCTAAACAAAACAAATAGATACTTAAGATCTCATAAAAAAAATGTAACAATGATGTAATGTTTCATTATGTAATATAGATCTCCAATGCTGCTAAAAAAATAGCCATACTCATAATATTATATATCTTCACTCATTCGTACATTTCTCTATGATCTTTGCTAACGCTCGATTATCGATTGGATTAAATTAATACAAAGAGATGAAAAATATAAAAAATTAGATAATACACATAAGTTAAATTTATAAATTTATAAAAACAAAAATTTTTTATATTCCAGGTCTCCAATGGTCACCGGATATGGTGTGGACGTGCAAATGGTTGCCACTGTATTTAACCTGGATGCTGACTCCATATTCCTGTTAAAATATATAGTTACTGTATTTATAAGCGGAACCATATTCTGTTATTAAACTTTAGCAAACCAACTACCGAAAATCATTACTTATGAATGATTGTAATTAATCCAAAAAGTCAACTATTGAAGACACAATACTTCAAGATAATATAAAACGTGTGAAAATTTCGAATTCAAGTTGGAATAAGCTATATTGCAGCCCGAAAAAGTATCATGTTCTAACAAGATTCTTCGAATTATACATTCAATGAGCTCGCAACCTGTTCGTAAATGAGTAAAAATAATATGATGACGTAATGTACATCATTTATGTACAAATTGGTTCCCTAAATATCTTTATTAATTTTTACTAATACCTTCAATGTATTTGTATGGTACTGTACCAACGTATCATATATAAATGCTGTATACTAGGTTCCAGATTATTTTTAATAAACATGTACACAATTAATTTGACTGATGAAAAACCAGATGAAAAAAAAGTTCCCGGTGGTGATATTCTTTACAGAAAAACTTTGAAAGTACATAAGAAATATCAACCGCTATTTGGTGAAAGAATAGATGTTATTACGCCGAAAGAATATGCCGAAATATGCGATATCCATGAGCTTCCAAGTATCTCTAAAACGAATTTGGATGGCTGTACAAATGAGGTACTGCCTTACATTATACAGAAGATTAAGATGTGGGGATGCGGTGCACTTACAGCAAGTAGTATTTCAAGACTGTTAAAAGAATCTAAGATGCCTTCATATACTGCAAAGTCAAAAAAAAAGCATTCATTCGGAAAAGCACTGAGTTCAACCCTTGACAAAGAGTTAGATAATGCAGCTATAGCATCATCAAATACATCGGAATGGAATAGAAATCCATTGAATCGATTTGATTGTATTGTTAGAATACTTAGCTCTGCAGAATGTACTGTATCTCAAGATATTCTACGAATAATGGCAAAATTTCCAATGACTCTACCTCTTATAATGCCAGACATTGAGCAAGAAAATGAATTTAAAGTGATGCTTCCACTCCTTACTGGCCCTGTAATCAAACAGGAAGTTAAATATAGCGTGATTGCTGAAAATCATCTTTTTTTAAATCCATTCAAGTTGCTTGTCGCTCTGCGGCTTGGCACGAATTATCTATCAGGGAAAAGTACAATTCTCAATCAATTGATGGCAACAGAACACATGTTTTCATCAAGTAGTGAGCCTGGCGCGTCACGAGGTCAACCATATACCCTTTCTGGAAGTGTGGAATTTGTTTGGCTTACTTAAGAAACTTGTAATGACAGTTTGTGGAAAAGCGTTATGGAACCTTATTATAGAAGCATAAAAACCGAAGAAATCGTGTTACTAGCAAATTTACATGGTGACGCATTAGAGTATAAGGAGCATATTAAATGGTTAGATCAGATTGCATCCAGATTTTTGGTCTTTATTATGCCAAACGCTAGAGAGCAAGAGTGGAAAGAATTAAGCGATATTTTAGATCCGGAAAAATTAGTCTACTTAAGTGTAGATCATCAATACAGCGAAGATAATGAAGGCATTGAAACTCAGAATTTGTCAAAGGATGACACGTTAGAAATAGTGCGAGCTAAATTTAAAGAAGCACTAGAATCAAATCTTTTAGATATTGATATCAGTAAGATCACATGTGAAAAACCATTAAAATTAGCGGAGAAGGTTTGTTGTGATGAATCTCAAATAATTGTGGACTTTATCAAACAGCAATCTTGTTACAAAATAAAAAAGACCATGAGACACCGAAAGCAATCTAGGGTTAAATACGAAATAGAAAATACTACAAACAAAGACCACGATAAAAAATTATCAAAAAAATTAATGAAAAAATTTGAAAACATTTTGATGTTATCGTCTGGTGAAAGGAGAAAGGCCTTGGCACATTTGGAGCGAGATCTTAGTGAAATTTCGGGAAAAGAATCATTAGAAGTCAGAAAAGAACTCTTAATATCTAAGGGACATCTTATTCGTGAAATGGATCTAATATATGGCAATAGGAATAAGATAAAAACACTTAGAGATAAAGTTAATGTTCTTTTAGAAAGATTTGATGACGTAAGTTTAGGCTTGGAGCATTTCTTTCGTGAACTTGGAAATTTTTACGAAATCTCTTTTGATAATTCATATAATGCCGCATCGCGATTACCAAAGTCCTGTGCAGAGTTGTTCGTTGATAATCACGCAATTGAATTGATTAACGGCGAAGCTGATGAAATGCAAAGTGGTTGGCTATCAGCGATTTTTAAAGAGATCGATGCATTATTCCCTAATTTACGTATTTTTGTTGTATCAATACTCGGTATGCAATCATCGGGAAAGTCTACCCTTTTGAATGCCCTTTTTGCCTGCAGATTTGCAGTATCTGCAGGTCGTTGCACTCGAGGCCTTTTTATGAGGTTGCTATTTTTAGATAAAAAACTGCGCGATAAAAACAATGTGGATGCGATTCTTCTTATCGACACAGAAGGTCTTGGTGCTCCCGAAAAGATGAATGATAAATATGCAGCGCAGAAAGACCGGCAACTGTCAACATATGTAATGGGTATTAGTAATTTGACATTTATTAACCATATGGGAGAATCCATGAATGACCTAACCGAGATCTTACAGATTGCAATTGTTGCAATGGCACGTTTAGAAAAGAATAATATTGCACCTGATATCTTTATGATACAACATCTTACTGAAAGTAATATGAGAAATACAGTCTCGGGACAGACTCGATTCTGTGAAGCTCTCCGAAAAGCTATAGAAATTACAAACATTAAAGATTCTGAGATAGGAATTACAAATTCGGAATGCCTAAAAGAAATAGATAGGAGAATTCAAATGGGAGATTTTATCAAACATTTTCGTCCCTTCAAAGATGGCCCAAGTCCTTACGCTCCTCCGTCAGAACAATACCATGAAGACGTGGTCGATTTGTATAAAGATATACTTGATGCATGTGGACGCTCGCACAATAAAATGACGTTTAAGAAATGGTATACACTCGCTAAAAGTTATTGGGAGTGTGTTAAAAATGAAAACTTTGTTACTCAGTTTAAAAATATTATGGAAATGTATGACTTTATTGAGTTAAGTGAAAAAATTGAACAAGTAAAGGAGGCTGTTGATGCAGATTTTCGAGCACATGCTAAGAAATGTGAAAATGATATCCGAAACAAATTTTTATTCTTATCTCGGCAAAATAGATCTGATAGATTGCAAGCTATAGAGTGTAACGTACGTGAAGAATGTAAAGATATGATCATGGATCAATTAGAAATGGCAATGAAAATTTCAAATGACGAAACTTGTAAGGAATGCAAAAATGTAGTAAATAGGCGAGAGCAACTCGATGAATATTTACAAGATAAAGAATATATAGAAGACAAAGCACGTGAAATTTTGGATACTATTAAGGAGCATATTGATAGTACACACAAAGGTACAGAAACACATCTCATTCAGATTATTGACGCAAAAATCATTGAAACAGGTTGCAACACAGAATTTATGGATGAAATTACAAAAAGTCTAGAAAAAAAATCAAAGGAGAGGCCATCTGGAAAGTATAACGAAGAAGAATGTCAAAACTTTTTTGAAGAAATTTGGAAGAATTTAGAAAAAATCGCAAATGACAAGAATAAAATACTGCCAGTTGAAGAACGAATTCTAAATGAAGTAGAAAAGGTATACGGAAATCTATCAACTGTTCGCGATCAATTTCGTAATTTTATTACAAACAATATGGACCAAAGAAGCACGGATAATACATCGTCAATTATTAAAGGAATATTTTCTAATATTTTTCTACACAAAGTACAGAAACAAAAGGAAATAGAAGAAATGTTGAAAGAGGAGTTCAATGGATTGGCTGATAAAATAATGAGAATGAAAATCACAGATCGCTTTGAAAGTGGGATGATAAATGAATTTAGAATCCACGTGGACGCGCTAATTAGAAAGTTAGAAGACCAACATGCTCTGGTCAAGTATGAAGATAAAAAAACCAAATGGTATTTACATGTTGAAACTTTGAAAATTTTTTATAATAAAATTGCAATAGCTCAATATAAGTGGGATGAAAAAAACAACCCACTTAGGATACTTCAAAAACGGAAAGCTGATTATAAAACTTTCATCATCGGACGACTTCAAAAAGATTTTTAGCTGTTTCTGGTGTTTTTGTCGCAAATTATATACTTGATTAAATCATGAATAGGGCCATGGAAGAGGCTAACAGTGAAAGAAAGCGTAGAGTACTCGGAATTGAGTGGATGAAAAATGCTATCCGTGTACGGTTCATGTATTTTAAGCAACTCGCCATCGAAGTCAAAGAGGGTAAATGTGAAAATGCTACATCGTCAACACCTGATCGGCAATTTTTAAATTTTAAAATTTCAAGTAGTGTTACTAAACTTTTTGAAAATTTTATTAACTTTAGATAGATACTATCATATATTATCAACATTTATTAACATTTATTATTTTTAGCTATATTTTTTATATAATATTTTCTTTTCTCCAAGAATTCTTAAAACATCTATATAGCTTTGAATGGCACAGCAAATTTGAAGCATTGTAGCTCAAAAACCCAATTATGAAACTTCTTTAAGGTTCTAAGCAACTATTTGCAAAAAAATTAGTAAAAAAACTTTTAGGATTTCAAAAGTGAAAGTCTTAATTATATTTTGAACAATGCTTTTTCTCTTATTGATGAGAATTTTCTTTGATGATTGTTCTAAGTGTAACAAATAATTCTCTAATTTTTTTGTGTAAATAGATTAATTATACATAAATAATTAGATTAGAAGTGACCTATAATTGACCAAAACATTATAAAAAGGCTGTAATTCCCCCTAACTATGAAAAAAGGGATAACTATCATAATTATAAAATTTTAAATTCTTGTAATTTTTTTTTAATTTTTTTTAATAAAATTATGATTATCCCATATTCATCTTTTATATTTTTCTATTGTTTTTCTATTAAAATTCAATTTTTATATATTGTTATCTTTTAATTTCAATATCAGGACAGAGTTGTGAAATTGATTGAAACAATAATTTTGAATTATTCATATTAACTTGTTTAATAGTGTTTGAAACAAAACATATATTGAATAAATTAAATTATTGAGAATTAAAAATTATTTTTATCAGTAATTTTAAAGTCTGTCAAGGGAAGAATTGAAGGTTAAAATATATTAACTTGTGAATTTCATCTTCTTTTGATTTTCTTTGATATTTCTTTGATTATTTTTTTTATTTTTCTTTATTCTGTTCCTATTTTTATTTTATTTTATAGAAACATTCTATTTACTGTAAGTCTAAATTGGCATGGTTCTCATTGTGCTTTCCCAAAGCAGTAATAGTATATTAAATTAAATAATTATAAAATTTATAATATAAATAGAATATAAATATGCTTAAATAATGTATAAGTTAAAATAGATATTAAATTAATAAAAAATACATATATATAATAATAATAATATATTTGATTTCTATAATTATTTTTTGTCTTAATAATAATATCATTAATTCTTTAACATTGTTTCTATATATTTCTTACAAGTTTTTTCAGATGTTTTATTTCAAATCTCTAATAAATTATTTTAGAGAATTTCTTTATTATTAATATTAATATCTAAATCAATAACTCTTCTTTTTATATTATTTCAAATATTTTTTATTGAATTTAAATCTAAAGATTTTAATAGTCAAGAAATAGTTCTAGTTTTATATATTTTTTTAATTATTTTTAAAATATTTTAGCCTTATGTTTAAAATTATTATTATACATAATATCTTAATGAATATATTAATTCTTCTTTCAAAATTTGTCTATAAAGTTTTACATTAAGATTGCCTTTAATCTTAGATAAATACACTATATCATAATAAGTAAACCATCTCCATATATTAATACTATCTTTATTAAATTTAGTTGCAAAAATTATATATTAATTTTTTAAAGATTCAATAGATTTTCTTTAGCAATATTTGCATTCTTTAGTTTCAAAAGGTTAAAATTTAGTTTTATCAAACTAAATTATTATACTTTAATCTTTTATTATATAATTTTTATATAATTTTGCAAACTCTAATTTGATTTTTTTATATTTTTTTATTTTAAAAAAACTTTTGACATTGTATATAAACTTTAAATTCACTTTTTTTAAGAATTCTTCAAATTATACTAGTATTAATTTTTTTTTTTTTTAATCCTGCAATCAGGTTGGTGTCATTTATTTATTTAATCATAAAGAACCATTACAAGTTGAGAATCCATGTAAAGTATAAATTTCTCCGATCCAACTCACCGAAGCCTCTAGATGCGATTTATGGGGGTGATAATGTGTTTCCCTAGTAGATGGAATTAAGATTCCAGATTTCCAGCAGGATCAAAACCTACAGATCACCTCTGCAGTCACGACCATAAACCCAAATTGTGTCACCCTCTCTTATAATAACTATGCAAGGAAAAAAAAGAAAAAAAAAAAAAATTTTTTTTAGTATGCGCATGAAAATTTATTTCATATGCTTAGATGAGACGCCCTATTTATTTGTGTTTGTGATTTCTTGGCGTTCAAACGAATTTGAGAAATTGATTAGCATAAATGAAGCATAAACTTATTGCATAAACTATAGTTTCTGTCCAATTCGCCATATTTTGATTTAGACTCGTAATTCAGGAAAATGTAATGGTTGGCTGGTGTATTTTGCCTGAGAATGAATAACTGGTGGAACGAATATTTTACTTTCTAAGTTTGCAAATTTTTTTTCTTCAGCTGCATCGAATTGATCCGAAAGTGGTGATGGGTCTGGATCATCACAGATGGCCGTGACCCAATCTCCTAACTTTTCATATAATTCTGAAGCTTTGGGGCGATTTTGAGAATCATGACTCCAACACCTTACCATTAATTCTTTATAAACTTCAGGGGTACCCTCAACTATTTCTGGACGAACGTTATTACAAATGTCACGTGCAAGATATTTGTCGTGAGCTCTATTACAAAATGGTCGTATACCAGAAGATAATGTCCACATTATAATCCCAAAGCTATAAATATCGGCTGCCTGTGTATATGGTTCACCCTTTAATACCTCCGGTGCAACATATGGTAATACCCCATAAATTATGGTTGTTGATTCGTCAGCTGGACCATGGAGGCCTACGTCAGCAATTCTTGTATCAATAGATTCTGGTTCATTTTCCACCAATAGGTTCCCACCATGAAGATTTCCGTGACAAAGACCATCCTTATGAATTTGATCCAAACCGCCAGAAATTCCCCAAAGCATATCAATAATGTCCCTCCAACAAAGAATGCCCATAACATGATCGAGATATTGGTAGAGATTTCCATTTTCATAGAACCTCATTACGAACGCGTAACACCCCGTGGTATCTCGTGTCATTCCAAAACAATCTGCGACAGAACCGCTTTGAATGCATCTGTGATGTTTTAGAATCTATTATTTTGAGAGATCGTACAATCCAATGTTATTTAAATAATAAAATAGTGTTACTAACATAATGCATGCAATTTGTTACCTTATTTAAATATTCTTTGGTTATATTATGAGAATTATCAATTCTTTTTATAGCAACCTTAATAGGTCCATTTCTCGTCCAGTCTTCGCTTTCTTCATCCCAAATCCATCGAGGTCCTTCAATCCAATATGATGAATAAACAGTGCTAAATGATCCCTTTCCTAAATACTCAGTAAGAATGAGTTGATCCCACGAAATCCACTCAAAGAAGTCAATGCTCTCGGTGGCATTCTTTTGAGTTTCCTGGATTACATAATCGAGGTCTTTATTTCCACTTGTCCAATTACTAAAATTATTCACTAGAGCACCAATATCGCAAGTGCACCACCCGGATCCAATTCTTGCAACACCACACTCAAAACAGTTTCCGTATCTGTTACTATTTGATCTATTGACGTGTTGCCCATTCGAACACGACATAATAAACTAAAAAAGAAAATATTATAAGTACTTAAAGAAAACATTATAAACAATAAACGTACAAAAAATTCTTGTTCAATTAATACTTACGGTCATTACCAGATTATCAATCCGGCCATGATTTTGGTTTATATAATAATTTTGATATGGATTATATAATTTTGAAATAGATTATCCCTTAATCTTTATCGGATCTGTGATTCATGTGGTAATCATAAGTCTGGGTTTAGAGTATACTTTAATTCTCGTATCGCTCCTGCCCCTTAAAAAATTGTTAACGTCTGTGAAATTGATATTGTTTAAATTTTAAGTATAATAATATTCTAAAAATATTCTAAAAAATATAAATCAGATAGCTCAAACAATTTATAAATATACAGAATATAGTAATTTACATAATTTAGTTAATTTGAATTGAAATTTAATATTAATCCTGATAATAAACTTATTTATTATTATAAACTGTCTAATTGTTATAAATTCAATTTTAATTTAATATTTCAAATATGTAATTTTTTTATATTTAATTTGAAAAATAGTTCAAATGTATTTTTAACAAAAAATTTTTTTTAATTTACTAAGTTTTTTTAAAGTAGTAAAGCATTATTTCTTTATCTACTTAATCGAAAGTATTTATATTTTAATAATATAGTAGCAATATAGTAGTGATATAAAATTTTGATCCTTTTGCCAACCCAAAAAACAGACGTTCTCAAAAAACCTTTTGTTTTTATGATAATAAAGTCTATACACTTTCCTTAACAACACTGGTTCCTTAACCAGCAGAGCGAGCAGAAGC